CGCGGCCATGTTGTCGGGGGAAAGGAGGAGAAAGGAGGGAGCGGGAGAGACTTCCGGAGGGATGGAGCCCGCCCCGGCAGCGCCCGCCCCCGCCGGCCTCGCCCCGCGCCCGCCGCCGACACCGGCTCCCCCCCCGGCCGGCGCCGGGAGCCCGCGGCGGGTCCCGCCGCTCCCCGCCACCCCCCCCGGAAGGGGCGGCCGCCCCGCCCGCCGGCGCCGCGGGGTCCCGGGGGAGCACTCGGTGCCGGTGGGCGCCGCCCCGCGCTGGGAAGGGCGACCGGCCCCTCCCCCGAGTGGCACCGACCCACCCGGGTCCCCGCCGGGAAGAGCCGCGCGGACCCGCCGAGCACCGCGCGGTGCCAGCGGGGACCCCTCTGCACCCCACCCCGGAGCCGGTGGAACCCCCCGGGGCAGCGGCCGAGGTGTCAGACCATCCCCTCCCCGGCCCAACGAGGATCGGAGCTCCCCGGGCAGCTGCTGGGCGGCCCCGGGCTCCCCCGGTCACCAAGGCTCAGCCTGCCCGTGGGACCAGCCCCGGAGTGGGCCAGGGTGGGATGAACCTCCCAAGGTCTCTGTGGGTGGAGGGGTGGGTGCCTCTGCTCCTCCAGGGCTGGGTCAGGGCCACAGACCACCAGGGTCGTGCCTGAGGCAGGGGAGTCCCAGCAGGGGCTGGCTGGGCTGGACCTGAGCCCTGCTTTGGAGAGAGAGTCATAGAATCATGGAATGGTTTGGGTTGGAAGGGACCTCAGAGCTCATCTCATTCCAACTGCCTGTCATGGGCAGGATCACCTTTCACTAGACCAGCTTGCTCAAAGAAGGTGTATCCCCTTCGAAAAAACCAAAGATGGGGTTTGGTAGCAGGCTTTTGTTATTCCTGAAATGAAACTGCTGGAAGAGTTCCACGTTATTCCCCAGCCTTGGGGACACCCCCGAGGGCAAAGTGCCAAGGTCCAGGTGGACCCGGGGCACTGGGGTTTGGGTGCATGAGTGCTCCAATGCTGCCCCACCACCTCTCCCCCCCTTGCTGCCCATCGGGGTTTGGACACAACGTGTCTGGCAGAGCGAAGGGCTGTACCCCCCCAAGGACACGTGCTTGCACAAGGAACAGCACTGTGCCGGCATCCCTGGCACTGCTGGGAGGGAAAGGGCTTTCTCTCCTTTGTGGTGGGTCTCCAGGGAGGGTGACTGCATGCAGGCAGCTGCCTTCTGAAGGCAGCTCCAGCCCCCAGCCCATGGAGACGGGCTCTGGCTCGCTGAGGCTCAGTCCCCAAGGTTCAGCCCCATTTATCTGCCTGCAGAGGAGCCCCACGCGTGGCTGGAGCCTGGCCCACAGTCAGCACGCCACAGCACACAGCAAGGGGAGTCACGTTTGATCGGGGAAACACAGCCAGCTTCCAAATTCTGCCTTGCAGGGCAGCAAGGGGGATCAGCACAAAGAGGGGTGTGGTGAGTCTGGGCTCCTGGGGCACATTCCAGTGTGGTGAAGGTGTTACTCAGTACAAGGGAGCAGCCTCGGCGAGGCTCTCCCCGTGCTGCATGTATTACCATGGGTAATGTGACTGAAACACCTCACCTTGAGATGCTCCTGACAGATCCCCTCCACAAATGCCTGCCTGGGGGAGGGGATGCTCCCAGCATCCCAGAGCCTGAAGAAAGGAGCTTTTCATCAGCTACCAGACAGGGCAGGGCCCCTGACAAGGATGGGGTCTGCTGGCCAGAGCCCCTGCCAATGCCTGGTCACCCCAGACTTCTTTGGGATCAGTCCCTGGGGACTCTGTCTTGCCTGGGTGATGGAGCAGAGCCCATGTTGCTGTGATGGTGGCACAGTGCCAAGGAGAGGGGATCTGGAAATCAGGGAGAGAGGATCTGGAAATCAGGGAGAGACAGACCCACCTTTCTTCCCTGAACCTGAAACACCCCCTCTGAAACAGCAGTTAAAGATCCACAGCCTGAAAACATGGAGACCGTGGTTTGAAGTCTGATTTATCTTAACAACAGGCCCCAGCAGCCACATGAAAAGAGAAGAGAGAGAAAAAAAACCCTATAAACATCCCTGAAGCTTCCTGTGCAGCTGCCAGCAGGCAGGGAGGGTTTCTGGCTGCATACAGAAAAGGGCTGCAAGGAAGAAAAAGGAACATGATGAAACCAAACCTGCTCTTTCCACAAAACACACAGCAAAGCAAAGCAGACCCCGGCAGTGGGCGGGTGGCTGCTTCCTCTGGCTGTCCAGTTCCCAGGGGAACTGGTCCAAATGGACCTCTGGTCCCGATCTGAGTCCAGTTTCCAAGCAGAAGGTCTGCCCCTGGCGCTGGCTCCAGGAGGAGAAATCCATAATTGGTGGCTGGCTCAGAGCTTGGTTGGGGAGAGGCCACAGACATAGCACCAGCCGCTGCTTGCTGCCCTGGAAATGTTTTCCAAATGTCCGTGGCTCTGCAATCCCTCAGCTGCAGCTTCCCCCATGCCTGTGCTGAGCTGGGCCCCACCTTTCCAGGGAGAGCAGTTCCTACCCCTCCCTGCAGCTCAGCATTCCCAGCAAAACCCAGCCTTCATTGCACTGTCATTGGCAACCCCAGAGTCACTGTGCTTCCTTATGCTTCTGCCAGGACACAGTCAGCCTGTTCCCACCCCCATCCCCACCTCCATCTCATCCCATTCCCATCCCCATCCCATCTCTCTGGCCCAAACTCAGAAAGCTCTCCCTCTTCCCAGCTTTCCTGGGCAGTACGAGGGCTTCTGGGGAGGTGGTGGGAGAAGGTCTGCAGCTGCTGAAGGGGACAGCCACCACCCAGCCAGGCCACACTACCCAAGCACCACATCCAGCTCCCAGCCCTGCAGCCGAACCCCAGCCTCGAGAGGCTGTGTCCGTGCATGTGCAGCAAGACAGATGGATGGGCTTTCACTACCCAGGGAGCCTTTTGTCACCTGCCTGGAAACTGTATCCCCTGGGAGGTGAATGTAGCTCCACCTCCAGTTAGGATCCCAGCACATGTCATGGGAATCAGGAGCTCTTCTCTTGATCCCATCAAAGCAACAAGGATCAAGTGCTGCCGTCACACCCAGCAGGAAGCTGAAGCCAGTTGCTCCATGGTGGATGCTGTGGGGTGAGGCTGCAGGAAAGGAGCAGACCCACGTCCTACATCCTGCATCCCATATACCTGTCTCATGTCCTGCATCCCACTCTGCAACCTGCCCCACTGCCCTCTCCTGCTGGGACTCCAAGGGAGCCAGCCCTGAGAGGGTGGATGGAAGAAACTGGTCCCTGACCCAGCCTGCAGATCTCCAGCCAGCTGCCCCTACCGACATAGGAGCATTTTCCAGCATTGGCATCCAGCCCCAATCCCGTTGCATTTTCTGATTGATGTGAGTGTGGATCACTCCCAGCCCGTGGTGCCCGTGTGTGCACCAGCTCCCACCGCTGCCCTGAAGCCGCCGTACTTCAGCCAACGCTGCCTCCGCAGGCAGAGGAGATCTCCTCAGTTTACTGGAACAAATGACCTTATGGGATTAGGGCCAGTAATCTTCCGATCTGGGTAATCTCTCTTAAGGGATTATTTGCCCACAGAAATGTGGTGACCACCCGCCAGCCACCGCCTCGCTCCTTCCACCCCTGCGCTCCCTGTCCCCGACAGCCTGGAGGGGCCACAGCACTGGGGTCACCACACACCCTTTGGGGAGCTCCTTGTCAAAGGAGTCCCAGGAAGGACATGTGCTAACAAGCCAGGGCCCCAGCACTGGGACTTCTCCTTTCTGCCAGCCTGTGCTCACTGCCTCGGGCAGGTCACTGGGGCTCCCTCCCATCAAAGCACAGATCCAGAACAGATTAGAGGTCTCTCCACCATCACCAGGGAAGCAGCAGCTGAGCAGGTGACAGAGGTGACTGCTTGGAGACAGGGCTGCATTTGGAAACCCAAGATGCTGTTCCAGGGCTTTGTCCAGAGCAGGGACACGGGACATAAAGACCAGTGTCCCCTGTTACCCACCAGCCCTGGGTGGGTTGCTGGGGCCCCTCTCCCACCAGAGAGCTCACCCAGTGAAGGTCTGCTGGTCCTTGCCATCAGTGCTGGGTTTTCCTGCATCTCCCACACCCCATTACTCTGACTCCTCTTGCTCACGGATGGGCGGGGTAGAAAGAAGGAGATAAAAACCATTTTGAGGGGCAATATGTTTCCCTTCCCACAGGCAGGGTCATTCAGGGCAGCAGATGGATGCAGTGCCCTGCCAGGGCATTCCCAAGACTGGTCCCTGCCCAGTACAAACTGGGAGACACTGGGGCTGGCCGAGGGTGAGTCAAGCTGCTGAGACCATAGCTGGTTGCACTCCCTGGGGATGGCAGGTCCTGGATGTTGAGCTCCGGATGAGCCACCAGCTGCACGAGAGGAAACCTGAGCTCGCCGCCCCATGCTCTGAGTGCCCATTATGGCGATCTGGGGGGAAAAGAGGACAGAGAGGCCACCTGATGCTCCAAGGGCCCAGCTGCCAACAGCGGCACCGCGCTGGGAAGCGGCGGGGAAGAGGAGACAGACGGCGGTGCTGGGGGAGAGGGGACGGGCTGTGACAAGTCATAAATAATTCACTCCCAGCGGGACCAAGCAGGGCAGAGGCTCTCAGCCCCACGCCCACCCGGGCTGCGGGGAGTGGGGTGCGCTGGGGGCCGGCTGAGGGGCCAGGACCCCCCAGGCCGGGGCTCAGCGCCGCAGGGCCACGCTGGACCCTCCATCCTTCCTCCGGGCGGTGAGACCCGTGGGATTGGGACCATCCCCATCCCGGGGCACGGAGCCAGTCCGGGGATCGCTAGTCCACGCCGTGAGATCCCACGCCGGCGGGCGCCTCCCTCCCAGCCCACGGCCACTGTTCCCTGCCCCGGCGGGTCCCGCCCGCCCCGGGGCCACCGCGACCCCGGGGGTCCCCGAGCCCCGGAGCGCTCCCGGCGGCGGCCGCCAGGGGGCGCGCGGCCCCCCGGCCCCTCCCGCCGCGGAACCCGCCGGCGCGGCTGCGGCTGCGGCCCGGAGCGGAACGGCGGCGGACCCGGCGCGGCCCCGGTGGCGGTCCCGGCCCCGCCATGGCCCGGGATCCCGCCTTCGTGCTGCGCTACCTGGCCGAGGTGGAGGAGCTGGCCGAGGACGTGCTGGCGGCACGGCAGCAGGTAGGGCCCGGCCTCGGCCTTCCCCGCCCCGCCCGCCGCCGGTAGCCCCGAGCTTCGGCCGCCCCTGCCCCTCTCTCTCCCTCTCCCGCTGCAGATCGTGGACCTGGACGTGAAGCGGAACCGGAACCGCGAGGCCCTGCGGGCGCTGCAGAAGGACCCGGAGCCCGAGGGTGAGGCCGGGCTGGCGATGCCTGCCGCGCCCCCGCGTGTCCGGGACAGGCTCCACTGACAGCCCGGTCCCGGTCCCTTTGCTCCTCTCCCCACAGAGAAGGCCATGGTTTGTTTCGGGAGCATGTTCATCGAGCTGCCGAAGGCGAAGACCCGGGAGATGCTGCGGCAGGGTGAGGCAGCCCCGAGGGCTCCGTGTAGCCCCTCAACCATTTTAACAGGAACCATCATCAACAAGATGTTAGAAAAGTCATAAGGTCATAGAATGGCTTGGGTTGGAAGGGACCTTCAAGATTCAATCTCGTTGCAATCCCCTGTCATGGGAAGGGACACCTCCCACTCTCCCAGGTTGCTCCAAGCCCCATCCAGCCTGGCCTTGGACACTTCCAGGAATGGGGCAGCTTCTTTGGGCAACCTGTGCCAGGGCCTCACCACCCACAGTAATTAATTGTTTCCTAATATCTAATCTTAACCTACTCTCTTTCAGTTTGAACCCTTGTCCTGTCACTCCATACTCTTGTAAATAGTTTTGCCCCATCTTTCCTGGAAGTTCTCTTCAGGTACTGGAAGGCTGCAATTAGCTCACCCCGGAGCCTTTTCCAGGCTGAACAATCCCAGTTCTCTCAGCCTTTCCTCACAGGAGAGGTGCTCCTGAAAAATAAACAGGGTTCTCTCCAGGGTTGAGTTTTGAGGTGGGCAGTCACAGGCTGATCCTGGCCCATGCTGTGCCCTGGGAAGCACATCCAGCATGAAACCGCTCGCGGGTGTTGAGGGCAGGGTGGGATCACCAGGGTGGGCTCCTCCACTGAGTGTCCCATGGGAGGCTGAGCTTCCACCCCAGAGCCCACTGCAGTCCTCCTCACTCCCACTCTCTCATTCCAGACCAGGAAGAGCTGGATGAGGAGATAAACAAGCTCCGGAAAGATCTGCGTGTGAAGGTCAACCGCCTCTACGAGGCTCAAGGTAAATGCTCCCGCTCCGGACCCTTCTCAGGGCCTGGGAGCAGACACACATCAGGAGGGGCCAGAAATTCCCAAGCTCTGTGTGTTCCTGCAGCTGCTTGCCCACTGGGTTTGCAATTCCCTCCCTGCCCCAGCAGCCTTGTCTAGCTCCATGAGGAGCCGTCACCCACCAGCACCTTAAACCACCTCCCACAGTGCGCTGGGGTGACCCCACTTCAGCTTTTAGGGCTGTCCCTGCCCTCCCTGCAGCCCCACTTGAGTTTAACATGAACTGCTTCTTTTCTGACAAAATCCTGATTTTTGTGTGCATTCTCCCAGGTAAACCTGAGCTGAAGGGGTTTAACCTGAATCCAATGTCTGCCGAGGAGATGAAGCTCATCAACCGCATCCTGGAGGGCTGAGGTGGCCGTGCCATTGTCACAGCACGTTTGAACTGTAACCAGGGGGCTCACACTGCAAAAGCCACAGCCCTCAGGGTTTGCAGGACATTGGAGGGCCCTGGGAAGCACTTGGCTCCTCAGCTACAGCACTGCAGTTTCCTTGGATCACGAACCCTTTCCTGCTCTGTGCTGGAACTCGGGTGTCAGAGACGTGCTGGACACACCGCCAGGCAAATGCCCGTGGCTGGGGTGGAGGTGGGATCATTAAAATCAGAGCAGTGGGACATTCCTGATTCCATGTGTATGTTCCTTGTTGGGGGTTCATATGAGCACTTCTGGGGTTTGGCTTCAGAGCTGGTTCATTGTCACGTCGGGAACAGGAGTAGGAGGGATTGGGAAGCCACTGCATGCCTGAAGCACAGCAGAGGAGTTGAGTTGTGCACGCCCATGGCATTCAAACAAAGCAAAGTTGTAAATCTGAGGCACGTCAGGAATCTCTCTAAGATGTGGAGGGAGGGGCAGGAGGAGGCAGCATCCTTTTAGTCTTGCTGGGAAAACATATTCCTCTGGTGGAAGGCAAGAGACAACAGAAACGAGGCTTTCAGGACTAGATGAAGTGATAAAACTTAGGTATATTTTAAAAAGCAGCCTGAGGAGGGCTGAGCAGAGATAGTCACCAGGTTTGTCTTGTAGTAAAAGGGCAATTGATGTAACCAGTAATGGTTTCTTCAAAGGTTTTTAAATTTACTGTTTTCTACACTCCCTGCTCTGGCCTGAATATGCTCCCCCAGCACTACTCACTTAAGAGCATAAGAAGATTTTTGAAAACTAATCATATTTAGTGTTGGACTTCAGTGAGTTTGATTTTTTTCTGTCTACGGGGAAGTATCTGGGTCCAGCCAAGCCTTTTATTTTTTGAACTTCTGTAAAGATATTCCTAGATAGAATTTAAGAACTCTAAATGTAGCTGTTGTCCTTCTTTCTCCAGCTCTGGAAGTGGCTCTCCTCTTCTGTCAAACCTTGCTCAGGTGACAGGGCTGGGCCTGGTCCTTTGCTTTCTTTCCTTCTGCACAGCTGTGATAACTTCAAACATGGCACCACCATTTCCCTGGCTCCCTGACCACCTTCCAGCTTAGCAGGGCCTTCTCCTGCCCTGGCCAGTTCCACACACGCTTCAGATTATGCACAGTCCCAAAAAATACCCTGTTTCAGATCCATTAAAACCGAGGGGTGATTTCTTTTAACCTAAAAACCCAACCATTGCTTGGTCTTACTCACACCATGTACCTAAATGTGCCTCTGTCCAGTTCAGGCTTACGTTTCAGATGCACAGACTAAAAATAACACAGACTTACTACCTGGACTGCCTTGCCTGTGGGTTTTTCAGAAGATTGCCTGTCTCCTGGGAGCAAGAGCCAGCTCACAGTGCCACATCCCAGTGTCAGAGCAGCTCTTACATAACCCGTGTGGTGCAGCCAGTCCGTGGCTCCGTAACGTGATGGTGAGGTTATTTTTACAGTCTCATGGCAACAGGTTTTCTGCTCTGACATGTTTCCATAGTAGTAGCAGGAGGAGGATCAAGTGCCTGCCTGCCCTAAAAGCTTTGTTTTGCTGCGAAGAATGTGTTTAACCCCTTTGTTTTCGTACACGGAACAGAACTAAGCTCTGCAGTGCAGAGGGCTGGCTGAGCAGCCAAGCATCCCTGTGTCAGCTAAAATGCCTCATTTAAGCCCACTGCAGCTTCCAAACTGGGATATCCTCGGCACAAGGCAGCCAGTGCCTTGTGCTGAGCCAGTGGTTTCTGGAGAGAAGTGGGAACTGCTGCTGCCCGACATGAGGGGAGAGTGAACTTCATGTCTCTCCCACCCCAAGCTCAGGGGGTGTTGCACTTTGTGTTGTGCAGGGAAATTCCTGAAAAGCTGCTTCAGTTGTCTCTTCCTGGCATCACAGCAGCCTGCCAGGAAAATGTTAACAGGGGAGTTACACATCACCTGCCTCTTCCTGCCTGTAGAGGCGAGGTGATGTTTCACTTTCAGGTGATGCTGCCCTCGTGTTTTGTTAGTTAGACACCACAGCCAGAGATGACTGTAGGCACATTGAGATGTGCATGGCAAAAGGTTACAATGCCTGTCAGCATGGACAATCCAAGTACTACTTCCCAACAATAAAATACACAACCAGCTTCAGGTAAGTGCCCAATAAACAGTCACCACAGTGACTGCAGGGTGTTTTCTTTTTTGAAAGCGTTTGCTCCTTTTGGTCTCTTAATCCCCTAAGGGCTCACAGTTCTCTTGTTGCCCAGCAAAGGTGTGTGCTCTCCTGCTGCCATGCAGACAGCTTCAGGACTGAGCAGGGCACCTGCCAGCATTGGGTGAGTTCTGCACTGAAATGTGTGTTTGCCGTGATGTTCTCATTCAACAGAGCACACAGATCTCCCCCTCTGCTGACAGGCCTGTCATTCCAGATCAGGTCAAAGCCTCCAACATGCTCCTCCTCCCGTGTCAGCCTACAACAAACCCATGGACTGAAGTACTTGAGCAAAGACAGTTCCCTGTCTGCACGCAGGAATCAGCTCCCAGACAACCAGCGACACAGCTGAACAGCTGAAGGCACTGGACATCTCTCTGCTATTAATATCTGGGGTTTGCACAGTTGTAAAGTCAATCAAAAAACGCTGTAAGACCAGCTGCTGGGAACAGAGTGCTCCAGCAGTGGCATGAGTGGGAGGCACAGTGCACAGGGACCTCTGACAGAGAGCTCTTGTACAAGTCCCAGCTCTGACATGGGCTCCAGTCCCTTGGCAGCCCTGTGCTGCCTTGTTTTCCCACTCTGAAGGGGCAGAATGCTTCTTTACTTTGCTCTGCTTCTGGATATTCATCATTTAATCACTATAAAGGTTAGAGGATTATGATCAGTTGCCAAGAAAGTCGTGGAACCAGACCATCCATCCCAAACATTCTAATAAAACTCCTCAGAAAGTGATAAACATCTTCACCTCCCTGCTCTTCCTGTCTACAAAACAAAGTGTGTCTTTGAAAAGATGACACTGGAGTTCAGTCTTCCTGGTTACTGGCAGGAGGGAAGGTGAAGCATTTACCTCCAGAAACCAGCAGAGATTACAACAGTAAATTAGGGGGAAACAGGTCATTTTGTCAATGGCTCATTAAGAGAAATGCCTCCCCAAAATCATTACCCTGCTAGCAGGCAGGAATGAGTGTGAAGCAATAGGAAATCCAACCCTAAATCTCTTTCCCATGTTCTGAGCCAAAGAACATTCTGAGCTTATTGCAAAGTTTCTATTCCTGTTCTTGACGGTACTAAAGACAAAAAAAAAAAAAAATCCCTTTGCCTTCCAGAAAGAAAAGTGAAAACCAAAGTCATGCTGAAGCAGTAAATGCTGAGAAGGATTCACAGAATGAGCATTAACCCTTTTTAATTGCAGATGTGGGTGTCTGTGGGGAACAGGTTCCCAGCATAGTGTTCAAATCTCTCTCTGAGAGCCCAGCAGCACTGTGATGACATCAAGGACTTTCATTCCAATTAATTTCTTTCCTAACCAACTGAGGTTACTCCAGCTCTTTACCTGGAGGCTGCCTAAGCAGTAATGTTGTTTGAGGTTGTGAATGGAGTAGATTGTGCATGTTAGAGCTATCCCTGACCAAAGCTGAGCTGCATTTATTTGCTCATTTGAAATAAAGCTGTCCCCAGTGGCACCACGTGAAATATTGGGCTGAAGCTGACAGGACACAGGGCTGTAACAGATAACACCAGTGACCATGTCTTGTTAGAAGAAAGAGTTAAAAAAAGAAATTAGAGACAACATTTCATAAGAGAGCACCAGCAACGTAAATCACATCTAAGGGAAATTGCCTTACCTACGGTACTGCTTGCACTTTACATGATTAAGGCTGAAAGAATAATAATCCTATTTTTGCTTGTCATTTCTGTAGTACTATTTGCTATTTCTGTTTCTCTCAGCTCCTGTAATGACAAGGCAGTTGTACTCTTGGGTTCCTGCTGTTGCAATGCTTGAGTTGTGTAAGTAGCAAGATAAAATTCAGAGAATTTCAGCTGAACTGTCATTATAAATATTTTTCGCTTAGTCAGGGAGAAAACCTGTAGTTAAAAAAAAAAAAAAAAGTAAAATTTTGTTTTCAAGGGTTTTTTCTTGTTGTTTTGTCACTTAGGGTTGAGCGCTGTCTGAGCTGCTCCATCACCCACCTGCAGCCCTGAGACATCCAAACAGTTATACAAAGGTATTCCCAACAGATGACCACACATTTAGTCCACGTGATTTGTTTTCAACCACAGCCTCCACAGCCCAGGGAGAATTCTGAGTAAAAGGCCAGAGACAAGAAGGTTGGGGCCACCAAGCCCACATGCCACATAAACTCTCCAGGCTTGCCCACTGTACAGCTGCAGGAGAACACAGTCCCCAGGCCCCCATCAGAAGTTCCCCAGCAGCACTTGACATCTTCTCTGCTCTCAGGGTACTGCAAAGAATCTCCTTTCCCTACTGACAAGAGGGATTTACAGAAGGGAGCAGCCCATAAAATGGGAAGTTCAAGACCATCCTCTAACACCGATTTCCGTCTCAGATTCATGAGGAATCTGACATCCCATTTAATATTTTCCCCTCTTTCTCTCTCTCTCTCTTCCTCTCAGCTGTCACCTCTTGAGAGAGGCAGCTTCACAGTGACAGCTGTGTGCAGCAGTGCCAGCCTTGCTGTACTTCTGAGGTCTCAGAGATGAAGGGCTAAGCTGTGTCTGCCTCTCAGAAGTGCATTAACCAGAAAGTTATTGGGTTTCAAGTCAAAAAGCTCCACCTTATAAATGCACATTAAAGCAGAACACTGGCCCAGCCTCACTCCTAATGCTGCTACCAAGGAAATCACACGGATGGGTGTCAGAAGAGGAGGCAGCACAATTGAATGGCTGCAGTACATGTGGCAGCTGGCAGGGTGAGGTCACCTTGCCTGCACCTGCCAGAGATCACAGCAGCAGGCAGCAGGGAATAGCCTGCAGGCAGCACGTACCCCTCACCTGCCCTGGATCAGTCAGGTGCAGTCTTTTGCGCTGCCACCGTTGTGACTGGAACATCTGGGATGAAGTAGAGATAAGGATCCAAGACAACCAAACACTGCTCAGGCAAATGCACAATTCTCTCTCCAACAGTCCTTGTGTGCCTCAGCACCAATTAATTATTTTCCCTGTCTTCAGACACCTGGGCTGAAATCCAACACTCCATTATGCTATCTGACCAAAAATTGCAGAAAAAAACCTTAAAAATCAGAAGTAATCAAAGAGGGTAACTAGAAAAGGAAAGAGCAGTTGCCCCGAGCTAGTACTGTACCTCATGGTGAGGCACTGGCACAGGTTGCCCAGAGAAGCTGTGAATGCCCGGAATGCCCCGCTGTGAGAAAACCAAACTTTGCTTACATAAATTGGTTGAGCCCTTTGATCTCTTGTTTCCCTGATAACCTGGGACTGATGTCTTCAACAAAGTGTTTCCAGATAAAGGAAAAGGCTGATAAGGAGCAGATCCTGCAGAGGTGGGGTAATGTTTTTTTTTCATGCCAATTTCCTCCTCCCGATAAGGCACAGCTGCATCTTACAGTGTAAAATTCCCCTGCTAGGGGAGCTATCGAGGCATTCCCCCCGAGACTGAACATACATAACCCCTGGAAATCCTTGTCACATGAGCCCCCACTCCCAACAGGTCAAGACTGTGACCATCACTCTGATCAAGGACATGGAAAATGCAATGATAAGTCATTGCTGGATCCATGGGAGGTGACATCTTTCCTCACCACTCTTGCCCTTTACTTCTCTTTCTTTCTTATCTATTTTCTTCGTGATATCTTTATATTTTTATAGAAAAGAACCACAATGGTTGCATATCTCCTTTCTGCTGCAATTAAATTGTTCTAATATAAACCTGCCTCATAGACGTACACAGGTCATTCAGTGTCGTTTCACTCCAATTCACCCTGAGGGTGAATTATTATTATTCTATTAACGAGAACCTCAGTTACCACCTCAGGTGGGTTGTGTAACACCCATCCCTGGAAGTGTCCAAGGCCAGGTTGGGTGGGGCTTGGAGCAACCTGGGCTAGTGGAAGGTGTCCCTGCCTGTGGCAAGGGGTTGGAATGAGATGAGCTTTAAGGACCCTCCCAAAACAAACGATTCCATGGTTTTCCATGAAACTCTTCATGTCACCTTGTCTCCAAACCTCAGTGTACCTTCCCCCTAAGGCAGCCTGCTGCACCCCCACTCTGTAAAGGCTTTTGATCATTCAGAGCAAGCATGAACTCTGCTGAACCTTCTCAGAGAGAAGTGATGGATTTTCCTGTCTCCTAAGCCATCAAATTGAGGTGGCATACCTTTTGGGAAGATGTGTTAATCAAATGAAAGCTATCAAACTCAATACAGCAGCAAGTGTGACACACTGGAAATCAAATAGTTCTCCCCCGTGAATCACCTTGTCCTTACGTTCTGTGAACCCGAGGAAGAAGAAAGGCTGCCAAAATTCAACCACTAACAATAAAACCAGGAGTGACATTTCAGCTTTTTTCCAAGCTGATTTGTCAAACTGACATTTCCAGTGATCTGGTGACACCAGTTTTCCAGTGAAAAAGGACTGGAGAAAGACAGGGTGACAACAGCAGCAGTGGGACAGCCGAGTCCTGTAGGTGTTTGCAGGAGCTGGAAGTGACAAAGTTCATCTGATGTATCTAATACCAGGCAGTAAAACTGTACAGTCCTTTTCTTACCCTTTTGTATGGCACAGGCAGGATACAGCGATCACCTCTGCTGTTCTGAGTAAATCCTGCATCAGAAAAGCAAGCAAATCCACCTCAGCATAACCAGGCCTTCAGAGGAGTGTACTGGGAGAAGAGGAAAAGAGCAACTGGGCATTAAGTGAAGGAAATCCATTTCTGGCATAATAATGGTGGTTTGCACTTACAGCTGTCGCTGGAACATAAAGTCTCATGTCAAACTTCCAACCTGTGAAGTGGAGAGAAATCTTAGAATCACAGAAAATCCCAAGTTGAAAAAGACCTACAAGAATCAAAGTCCAGCTCTTGGTGCTGTGCACGACCACCCCAAGAATGTACAGTACAAATATATTATAAAACATATGTATATTATATATAAAATATATTTATATTATATATATAAATGTAGAATATAACCCAGTTTCTGCCTGGTGTTAGATGTACCTGAGATTGAAAGTTTGTATCTAAATATGTACACGAAGTGTGAGAAGTAGATCCCAGAGCAAGTATCCATTTTGCAAAATCCACTGTAAAAGCCTTTGTTGTTGCCCTGGGGAATGGTGAAGGAATATTGCAGGAGAAGGGCACAGGAGAACAGACCAAGTCACTGGCAGAAGGAGAGGATGAAATAAAAGCAAAAAGAACAAAATGCCCTTTGGATATTCCCAAAGAAGAGACAGAGTCATTCTCACCTTCTTCAATCAATTACATCCTTCAACTTTCAGGAACATTTCCTCACCTTGTGACTTGCCAACCTACAGATGGAAGAGCAGAGTTAGTGGCACGAACATTAGCAATTCCTGCGGTTTCCCAGAATTTCAGAGCAGAAGCCCTGCATAACCTGATTCATCAGCTGTTTGTGTGCAAGCACGTTTATTTAAGTTTATGGGGGCAGGGGAATCCAACAAAAAAAGCTCAGATTTGTGTTTGGAGGATTCCTGGAGGAAAGGCAGCCTATGGGGAAGTCCCACAGCACCGAATAAACAAACTCTGTCACGCGCTTCCAGAAATATACGTAACGCAACATATGTTGTTGGGAATTTTAAGTCCCATTTTAAATTTGTGTATGTTATAGAAGAACTTAATTAAACAGGAAAGTCAAGAAAGATATTGGGGAACTATGGCAAACAAGAGCAGAAAAATCCTGAAGACAGCCTTGACTGCAGGTTGTACAAAAGAGGGTGAGGAGTGGCCCGGATAAGGCACCCGAGGAGCAGCTGCCCAGGAACACCTTCCAAAGCAGGTCCTGCTTCCTGCAGCCCCAGGATGCAACATTGGGCACGTCCTGACCTACTACTGCCTCCGAGGGTGGGAGTGGGCAACTCGGGACATCACAACACCAGAAGGAGTAACATGAGGTTTATTTTTACTTGCCTGCAAGTTTTGAGGTCAGCCACAAACTGTTTATGCTGTTGGTATAATTTCAGTAATCACAGGCTTTTCATATATCCTTGTTTACTGTGTTCTGGTTATTTACCATGTTAATTGAGGTTGTGGGGCATAACATCAGCTTAATATAAGGGTTTTGTTGCCAATTAACACATTCCCATTTGTAGAGTTAGATAATCACTAGCTGCTATCCTCCCGGCTGTAATTCACATGTTAGTTTGCATAATTACCTCCCAGTCACTTCTCACAAGGGTAAGACAAATCCTCCTGTCCCAGCCTCCTCGCCAGACCTGCTGCACAAAGCACAGGGACTGCTCACTCACAGGGCTCACGGATGGGTGTGTTTTAAATTAGGCACCATGGCACAACACTCAAGACATTAAATGGCTTGAAGCCTCCAGCAGAAGCAAAGGCATTTCTCAGTGTCACTTTGTACTGTCGGAATTTCTAAAGGAAGCACAATTTTTCCTTAATCCCCAGGTCACTGGCTGAAGTGGAACTTGGTGTGTTCAGCACAGCTCCAGGCAGCTGTAGGTCTGGGGGGACAAACGTGATTTAGAGCACAAGGCTGCCCTTCATGTCTCTAACTTCAGAGCAGAGAGAAGCTCATTCCAACCAAACCTACCCCAGCTCGTGCTCCAGGCTGCTAATGGATGTCCCATCCCTGGAAGTGTCCAAGGCCAGGTTGGACAGGGCTTGGAGTAACCTGGTCTGGTGGAAGGAGGTTGGTACAAGATGGTTTTTAAGGTCCCTTCCAACCCAAACCTTTCTGAGATTCTCTGATAATGAGTCTCTTTTAATGTCTTCACATTCTCAGGATAGAATTCCACTCAGTAAGCTTACGCCAGACTTACACTGGCTGACATCTAATGCAGTGGGACTTCCCTAAAACCAAACAGATGTTTTCATAGATCCCTCTTTAGGGGCTAATGCTCATTAACCAGAAGCCAAATTAACCACCTGCCCTGCACACTCCCCCCACACACACACCTTCTTGCACACCTGCAGCAGAACTGAAAGATTTCAGAGCATGAACTCGGCCAGAACCTCCGGGAGCACACTCTGTTCCTCCACACCGAGCTCTGCACTTTATACCCTCACCACTGAGTTAACTTTGGCTCTACAAATAAACTGAGATGACTTTCCGCTGCTGAAACAAACTGTTACACAAGAAGCAGTGTTTTGGTGGTACATGTTGACCAGGAACCTGGCCGGGAGCACTGCTGCTCCATGGCACCTTGCTTTGCCCAGTTCTTCCTGCGGGTTTCCTGCATATTTTCCTCTCCCTCTGCAGCACGAAGGCATCCATTCATCTCTCACTTTCCTTGGGAAAGCACACACTTACCAGCTTCATAACCCAAGTGATGCCAGGGTTCTTGCAAAATGCTTCCACAAACAAGTAGTACTCTGAAGGCATTTTCAGGGTCTTCAGAATAAAGGCACATTTTCTTGCCTCAGGCTTTCCTGCTTCTTTTTCTAACTGCTTCCAAAACCTCTTCAGATCTTTTGCTAAGCAGCTGTTCTGACTCAGCTGGGTAGAAAGAGAAATATAAGATTCAGCACAACAAATGCTCCCACAGTCTGACTCACTTTAATTACCCTCGAGAAGTTTCTGGGGACCAACTGCACCACATACTCTGAGGGGAAAAATAAATAAATAGGGATACCATTGAGAACCGCTTTTTCTTTGTGAAGGAGGAGGCTCAATTTCGATTTTCTGTCTCTCTGCATGAACATGGGGAGTTAGAATAGAGCAGGTCTTACAATCCATGTTCTACTATTCCTACTGTAGCTTTTCCATGCAGCCAGCACCCACCTCTCCAGAGCAGGCAGTTGCCCACAGGAACCCTACAGCAGCCCGGCCCCACCACTCCTGAACCACCACAGGTGTCAGCCCAGCATTACAAACCACCCTCAGACTCCATTCACAGAGTCACAGACGGTTTGGGTTGGAAGGGACCTTGAAGACCATTCCCTTCCAACCCCCTGCCATGGGCAGGGACACCTTCCACTAGACCAGGTTGCTCAAATGCCATGGCTGGTGAGGGTAAGGGCTCCTAGTGGGATCACATCCTGCTCAGCTGCTGTGCTGCATGGACACAACACCCAGGACAGGACAGGGCTGCACCAGGGGAGGTTTAGGTTGGACATTAGGAGGAATTTCTTCACAGAAAAGGCGATTAGACATTGGATTGGGCTGCCCATGGAGGTGGTGGAGCCGCCGTCCTTGGAGGCATCTAAGGAAAGACTGGACATGGCATTGAGTGCCACAGTCTAGCTGACGTGGTGGTGTTTGGTCATAGGTTGGACTCGACGATCTCAGAAGCCTTTTCCAACCTAATTAATTCTGTGATTCTGTGTTATGTGTTGCACCTAAACTTGCCCATAGCTATCAAGGATACTCCCCACACAGGGCTGGGGAAGGAAAGGGGGGGGGCTTTGCTGCACAGGGAGCGGCTGGGCCTTACCACGCTGCCCGGGGGATGTGCAGGAGCGGGGATACAGCGCTGGGAGCCCCCCGGGCTGGGCTGAGACCCCCGACACATCCCCCCCCGTCCCGTCCCGTCCCCATGGCAACCGCGCCGCCGTGCGCCAGGGGGCGCGCGCGGCACCCGAACCCCGACACCGCCCCCCAAAACCGGCCCGAGCCCCCCGGTCCGCCCCGAGCCCCCCGGGGCACCCTCGGCCCGACCCTCCCTGAGCGCTGCGGCGGCTGGTGACGGGCAGCGGGAACCCCTCGCCCCTGGCCCCGCTGGCACTGCCCATCCCGCTGCCCTGCAAAGTCGCCGGGACGGTCGCGCAGCGCCCCGGGCAAGGCAGGGACTCTGCGGCACCTGCCTGCAGGTGGGCACGGGCAGGGTGGGCACGGAGCGGGCAGGGGTGGGCACGGAGCAGGCAGGACAAGGGTAGGTATGGCGCAGGCAGGGGTGGGCGCGATGCGGGCAGGGCAGGGGTAGGTATGGCACAGGCAGGGGTGGGCACGGCGTGGGCAGGGGTGGGCATGCTGCCGGGCGCTTCGCCGCGTGGCCGCACAGACCTTCCTTGATGGAGCAGGACAAAGGTTTTGTTCTTCTCCCAACAGTGCAGCCTTGTGCGGCCGCGGGCAGCGGCGACAGGCAGCAGCCAGCGCGGCCCCGTGCTCCCACGCCACGGCGCAGGGGGGGAGTTTCTCCTCCTTTGTCTGCTCCCGGCCAGGCAGCAGCCGGTGCGCGGCAGCGGCGGAGCAGCCGGGGAAGGGCCTCGGCAGGATCCGCGGAGCACGGCGGCCGCGGTCCCCTCCGCCCCGGCACAGCCACCGGCCCGGCCCCGCCGCGCTGGCAACGAGCAGCGACCCCGGAGGAACCGAGCTCTTCATGACGGAAACCCGACCAGGGAGCGGGGACGGCAGCCGCGCCCGGGGACGGGGAGGACGGCAGCACTGGGGACAAGGACACTCGCGCCCCGTGCCCTCCCCCGGCGCCCGCGGTCGGCCATGGGGAACGGCATGAGCCAGGTAACGGGGGGCGCGGCGGCGGCTGCTCCGCAGTCCGGCCGGGGCCGGAGGTGGGAGACCCTCACCTGGCGGCTGCCCCTGCCCTGCCAAGCGGCGTTTCCCCTCCCGGCACGGGATCCGGCACAGAGCTCGGCTCTCAGGCAGCTTGTTTACCTGCCAACAGAGCGGGTAAAACCGGAGGAGAAACAGACCGGGACACTGCACCAGGGCCCGTCCCGACCGCTGCTTACGGGGTGTGGAGGGCAGGGGTCACAGCGAGCCCCTTCGAGGGAGGGTGGAACCTTTCCCAACAGCCTTAACCCCGAGGAACAGCTCCAAGCACACACCCTCGGGAGCCCTGTGAGACCCCGAGCCTGGTGGTCCCACACCCCCTGCTTAGTGGGGCTGGGCTGTGCGTGGGGCTTGGCGTCACTGGGCAGAGAGGATGGGCACTATTTTATTTATGTGCTGCCCCGTTTTCTTCTGCGAGGAGTGGGTCAGCAGGGTGCTGGGGACAGACACGTGCTGTTTATTCATGGTTCAGTGCCCTGCCCTTGGGAGCTGCCCTTGCTAACTGGCTCTCTCCCACCCTCTCCTCTCAGTGCCGCAGCTGTGAGTTAAAGGCACCTCATCGGTAGAAAATGGATCTAAAATCTCAGGAATCATAAAAAACCCAAACCTCTTTAAGCTGTTCAACCGAGAGAAGCATTTCCAAATGTGAGCAATGAGACAAGTGTGAGCCCAGCTGTGCTGATGGAAATCACCTCCACCTGCCCTGGGCACCAAACATTGCTGCAGGGAGAAGCTGGGGGAGAACCAGCTGGATACAGGATTGAACAGCCCTTCACTGCCCAGGCTGTGAGTGAGGGAGAATATAAAACAGCTCTGTGTCAGAAGGGTTGCAAGGTGTCCTGCTTCTGCATCTGCAATGCTGTTAATAGAGGCCTTGTCAAGTAATTATCCTTTCATTATGAGAAGTGGAATTTCCCAGGGGAAAATGAGCTGAAGGCACGGTGTCCAGAGCAATCTGTGCCTGGGCTGTGAGAAATGGGCTCTCTGCAGTGCAGAGTGTGGGGAACAGAGCTTGGGGCTGGGAGGGGGACAGCCAAATCCCCCCAAGCTTCTCTGTGCCTGTTGCTTTTCTATCTCTCAGGCAACAGGACTTACACAGGTCATGGATATAGTCCAAGGCTGTACAGAGGTGTATGCAACTTGCTGAGCTCAGGTAATAAACCCCAACGGTGGATTTATTGATGATAAACAAGAGGAGCAATAAAAAACTCTATGTCTGACTGCCAGCACCCATGAGGGTGCAGCATCAGATGGTTGCAGGTGCCAGGGTTACATCCAGCCCCATGTCCTGGATGCCAGGGCAGAATCAGCCCTGGGAATGCACCAGCACCATTCCTGCCCTGGGGCTGGTGATGGCCACCTCAAACACCAGAACTTTGGCTCCTCCAGCTAAGGTAGCTGCTTCCCAAAGGGGGTCCCAGCACACTGGGTGCCTCAGCACAAGGTCACTGCTCACGCTGCCACTTCCCCTTGTGTTCCACAGATCCTTCCTGGCCTCTACCTTGGGAACTTTGTCGGTAAGCGGAACCCAGATGCTGCAGAGATGTCCAGCTGGGGAGTGGGGCTTGCTTGAGTTGGTGTCTCCCTGCCTGCAAACTCTGCCTGACACCCTGCCTGCTCCCACTGCCCTGCCTGCTCCCGCTGCCCTGCCTGTGCCCACCACCCGCTCTGCTCTGCCACCTGGTTTGGGGTGGCAGCAGTGGATTGGAGGCATTGTGGGGAATGCAAGGCAGAGACCCTCTGCCTTTGTATGGTTTCCTGATTTAAAGGCTGCCCTGAGCTCTTCAGACACACAGGGTGAAGGGGCCAAAGTGAGGAGAAATGGATCCTGTGCTGGGAGCAGAGGAGCTGATGGTGCCACACCAGTGTGAGGAAGCAGGACTGGGACACCTCAGGGTGATGCTCCCCAGTTTCACAGCTATAGGAGGCAAGAGGGAGCTGCCCATCCTCAGGAGGGAATTTCTCTCAGATGCAGAGTCGCCCCTTCTCACACCAAGTCACTATTATAAGGGGTTTTCATTACCAGGGAACAATTCATGACCAAGGCTTGGCATCTGCCATGAAAAACCAGCATTTATTGGTACTCCCACCTCCCTCATGAATCCTTTGGCAGCTTGATTCCTGCAGTAAGCTCTGGGAAAGTTTAAAACCACTGGTGTGAATTTGCTAAGG